TAGGGATGACATGTCCAACGTACCGCTCTTATTTGAAAGATATCGAGTAGCGGCTTATTTTGGAGGCCATAAACTCGTATTAGAGTATCAATCACCCAACAAAAAATATTTTCCTGTCGCTTATTTCACTTCAGGAGCTGGTTGTCAAACGAGTAAGAAAGCTTGTAAAGGACATGATTGGATTGCTCCAAGAGGAACTTTAGGATTTTTACACGTAAAAATCAAGAGTAAGAAATTAAATTTTGAATTTGTGGATTCTAATGCAAATATTATATATAAGGATAATATAAATGCTATACCTTTATGGTATCCTAAAAAGTGATAAATTATTTGGAAATATTTAAATAACTTTATGAAATGAAATTTTATATTAAAGAAATTCGAAAAAGGATTACAGTTGTAATGTTGTTGGTGTCTATTTATTTATTTATCTTCTAAAAATTCTTTATCATAACAACAATATTAATCAATAATGGATGACACGCGTCACCAGATAATAAAATTAGTATTTATTATTTCGTTAATCCTATATCAATTTATATTTGTTATTAATTACTTATATCGTATGACTAATAATGTGCAAAAAAAAATTATTAGTAAACGTAAATTTCAAAAAATGTCTTGTCAAAAATATACTAGTCAACCATTTTGATGTAAACACGCAATTTTAACAAAATAATTTTGATAATCAAGATGTTCAAACTAATATATTTAGCAAAGTGGATTGATATTATATAAATAAAGGCATAAAACTAGCTTGTGGCATTAATAATTTTTCTTTCTTATCAAATTACACAAGATCCGATCCAGAAACACTCAAATATATAATCTTAGAAATTATTTAAAAATCAAAAATTCAAATTTGACATTATCTATCAGAATTTTTCTTATATTACTCCCGAAATATTATGTGATAAGGAATATACCAAAGCAGCTGACATTTATTCGTTTGGAATTGTAGTTTATGAAATAATTACAGGCTTCGTCGAATGAATCAAATTTTGAAAAAGAATTTGAAGAGTTAACTAATTATATTTTTGTTTTAAGTGTTAGTAAGTATCAATTATGTTTGCGTATATTATCTTAATTTCATTTCTGAAACAAACCAAT